TGGGGTCAACTTGCTCATTTTTCTCAATCCATTTTAAGGGCATTTTTTTCTGTTTCCAGGGTTTGTAGATGCAATATATCGTCGTCGTCGTCGTTTTGTTGTTGTTGTTTTGTTTGTTGTTGTTGTTGTTGTTGTTGTTGTTGTTGTTGTTGTTGTTGCTGTTGTGTTATTTTTGTTGTTGTTGTTGTAGTTGTTGTTGTTGTTTTTGTTGTTGTTATTGCTGTTGCAGTATGGTGTTGGTTATGCCGCCGCTGTGGCTGTTATTGCTGTTATTGTTGTTGTTATTTTAGTTGCTGATACAGTATTACTATATGTCTATTTTAAGACAGATAAGAATACCGCAAATTGTAATTCCCACGCCAAACTGTACAAGTGCCACATTTACATACTTTCTTGACACTGCCACGTTTAACAAGAAAACTGTTTTCCAAACATACGTACGAGTCAACTAAGAAAAAAAGCATATCTTTCCAAGAGAATAACATTGTGAATATTAAGCGCAACGAGTGAGCAGTAAATTCCAAATAAGTAAAGAAAACTGCAACACAAAAACACAATTTTAAAAGATTGACATAAACATGCAATCAGTAACACTCACTCCAACGGCGCAGGCCAAAGAATCTCAGAAAGGAAACGAGTGATGCTCACATAGGTGATCTCCAGTACCCACGAAAACTCGACTCGTGAATGAAAGCTTCCTCAAGCGACCAACTCACAAACGCATATTTTCGTCCCCAATTCTCTCACGCTACACACGCGCGGATACACATGTTTTCACTCAAGGGCACAGAAGGCTGGTGGCTCTCTATGCTTAATGCTCGTGTGGTGAGTATGAAAGGCCTGTGGGGTGTTTGGAGGGTTGAGAAGATTCAGTTGTAGCTTTGCTAGAACAGCCAAATTCCTCTGTGGTCAGGCTTGAACGAAATTTGGGTTTCGCATCTTTTGGTTTTGGTGTATGGGTTGGCGGTGTGTTTAACGGGTTTAATATTGTGTGTGTTCTGGGCGGAGAGGGGGGGGGTGTGGTGTATGCCTGCGTGTGTGTGCGTGTGTATGTGAGTGTGAGTGTGTGTGCGTGTGTTTGAGTGTGAGTGTGTGTGCGTGTGTTTGTGTTTGTATGTGTGTGTGTATGTGTGTGTGTGTGTATGTG